GCGAGGTGATCGTCCACGAGGAAGAACAACGACACGCTCGATCCGCTCCCAGCGGCGTCGACGGAGAAACTAACCGAGCTCGGGATCCGAGAGAGCGTCGCCCCCCACCACGCCGCCCGCCGCGCATCCCCACTCTCCCCGCTAACCGAGCGATTCCCCTCTCGCGCCTAGTCATCCACCCCATCACCTCGCTTCGCCATCCACGGCAACCAGCTCGGTTCTAGCCACCGCTCGCCCCTCCGCTTCCTTCCTTCTCGCTCGTGAACCCGACCGAACCGAGTGTTTCTCCTCCCTTCTGCCAGCTTCACCCGTTCTCACTTTCTCTCTCTCTTTCTCTCTCTCTCTTTCTTTCTCCACCTTCTCTTCTCGCCCATCTATCCTTCCCTCGCTCTCTCTCTCTCTCTCTTTCTCTCTCGGTTTTCCCTCCACCACGTTCCGTCGGTTTTCGAAGAGTCTCGCTCTCTCCTGTCTGAACTCTCAAGGTGGAGGCACTCGGCGACTCGGAGAAGATGCGCTCTCTTGGTATCTTCTCGTTCTGCCTCTCGCTACTTCGCTCCGTGTGTGCACTAGCCTGCGTGCGTGGCCCGCCGTCGGTGTAGCGTGGTTGTTTGTGCGCGTTGTTGAGAAAGGTGAACCGTTAGGTGGTGAGATCCGTGAGGGTGTTTCTAATCGGTCCGTAAACGAGGATAGCATGTTGTGGACGTATCGGCCGCGTCTAGGCGAAGAGAAATATCGGAGGACGCGGCCTCGATCGGTTGGAAGGGATCGACGATTTTTGAATTATTAGGGCCGACGGATCGATCGATCCTTGTGTGTGTCGGGACTCGTCGAGCACCGTTTCGAGTGTCGGTCGATCCAGACTGTTCTCCAGGTGATCGGGAAGCAGATCTCTCCGGATAAATTTAATTCGTTATGGAGGATCATCGACGAGAAGCGGCGTCGAGAGATTTATCTGTCTGTTGTTTGTTAGTCCGCCCCGGGTGAATGCTCCATACCCGTTTTAATCCAATTCCCATTTTAAGTTGCCAGGGATTGTTTATCGCGATGCAAGTGACGGATGAAACGGGGAAATAATTCGAGGACTCCTTAACGTTCCGATATCGAGACGGTATAACGATTCGCGAGTCGTTTAACATCGATGGAAAAATAAAAGGAAAGAAAAAAAAATATTATATATACATATATATTCGAGGCAAACGTTTCGCGTTACTCCACTTCGTGATTCGTGTCTCGTCGACTTTTCCACGAGAAAATACAACGCGCTAAACAATAACGTCCCACGATTACCACAAATCCTCCCCCGGGCTCTTTTTCGTCACTTATCAAAGCCCGGTGATCCCGGTTAAGTCTCCCAAAGCGTCCGAGGGAAGAGCAACGCTTGTAAAGTGTTTCGCAAAACTTCACCTCAGCGTGTGTACACACGCCTGGCCCCGTGAAATACGCCGCGTCCCCGAAATTTATTCATTCCCGTATTTCTTGGCAACGGTTGAAAACCGCCCTTGGACAAAAGAGCAACCCTATCTCGGGGGTATCGCATAAACAACCGAGATCGCGATCTCGCTTCGAGATCTATGACCCCCTCCCCCATTTTCTTCCCACAATCTCGCGTCCCTTCGCGTATATCGTATCGAGATGCGGAGAGCCGTGGAGAGAGTGCGAGAGTATTCCACAAAAGAGGCAGAGAGAGAGAGAGAGAGAGAGAGAGAGAAAGAGACGTCTCCCTTTTCACCTTTGCCCCCCGTTAATCCCGAAAGTCTATAAATATCGAAAGGGAATGTATTCTCCGAAGGGTCGTTTACGGGATCACAATTGCAACCGAGCGTGACACGGGCCAATGATGACGCTTTAATCCAGAAACGGTGCAAACGAGAAGAATGACGCAGAATTTTCGAGCATCATATTTTCGGGGTGAATCGTGACATTTACTCCTCGATGATTTAATTTCAAATCTACAAGTTATGATTATATGAAAATAGGTTATTGAAGATGAGGTTATAGAATCATAGAGATAGAATCGTCTCTATATCGTATGAATAATCGAAGATAATGATCCGACTAGACGATAGAAAAAGTAGAAAATAATAATGCTCGTAGTATCGTAGTTGTCCAAGCGTTCAATAGACAACGATCTATTAACGTATCTTAGAAACTTGTCATTAGATATTAAAACATCGATACGTTGCGTTGGTACATGGGCGTTAGAAAGCCAATTCTTTGCAGAATATCTTGCGGACAATTGTGTAATTCGAATGCCGTCGTGTTCGATGTGTTGCGTAAATGATCCACACGAACGATTACCGATCTTGCTCACCCAGGAATACCAATAGTGCATAACTCGTTGCCACGTTTCACGGTTGATCTAAGGACAAATCTAAGGTTTCTCGTTACCATAAAATCGCACCGTATTAGAAATTTTCCGCTCTCTCCCTCTCTGTTTGCGCAATCGAGCTCCGCTTGCCCAAGACAGGGGATAGAGAACGCCTATCCCCGCCGTGGAAACGCTGATCAACGCTATCAGTGGCGAGTAACCGGCCGCCAACTTTCCACCCCACGACCGAAAACTTGAACCGTGTTCGTATGTGAAACGCGACTCGCTTGGCCGAGTTCGAATACCGTTGCTTACCCTTACGAAGCATCAACGTATCCCACGCGAACTCCCTCGTTTGGTTCGCGACCAAAGTTTCCAGGCGACGTTTCACACTTCACAAACCTACGACAATCGTCACTTCGTGTCCTTCCACGGCGTTAGAGCAGCTGGGCGGAACGAGATCTCGGGGATATTGGAGAGGAAAGGCGAGTTAGACGGTCGTTGTCTGGGCGAGTTCGCATTCTTTGTTAACCTCCGTGGACCGCCACCAGGTATCGACTATTTCACGCTTCGTTCGGGGATTTAAGAAGCGAGAAACTCGAACAACGACAAGCCAACATTCGCGCCAAAACTTTTCTTCTCGCTCGTTTCCGTGAAATTAGTTCGGTTCGTGCGGGATAAATACGAAAACAGGAGAAAAATAGGTAAAAAAAGTATCGTTCGAATTTCGTTCCGCGCGCGCCACGCCATTTTATAAAATGGTCGATGTTACGGAAAATTCACGCGTGAAATCATGCGAGTTTCAATCAAGTTTCGAACGATTGTTTGAACGCGAGGAAGAAACGAACACGTAAGGGTGAAAAGTTTGCAAGTATACGGAACGCGTATATAGATGACACGTGGAACAGGAAGCCAAGGGTCGTCTTTAACGATTTTTCCGTGTATTTCACGCGTGTTGCGTCACCGTTGTTGGAACCGAACATCTGCCCGGGGAATTAAACCTCACGCACTCATTCCACCACCTATATATATATATATATATATATATATATATATATATATATACCTCGCTGCTTATAGTTACTATCTAGATAAATACCGAATACTTTAAGCGTCATGGTTATTTCGTTAAGTATTCATTTGCTTTTTATTTCGCCACTTACGAGAGTTAAATGATTCGCTCGCTCCACCGATGAAAACATAAACGTCGAAAAATCGAGATATATATATATATATATATATATATTTTTTCCCTTTGAAAATATTCTTTAAAACTTTATCACGAATCAAGCAAAACTACTCCTTCCATTGGATAAACCGACTGTACAAGCAAATCTATAATCGCCTTAATTCCACACACACACACATATATAGATACGCGCTCCGAGGCGTTCCAAGTATTACCAACTCGTGGACGCGTAATAACTTCATTTACGTCGTGTTTCCGCAACAACCTCGGGCAATCGTAGCACCAGCTGCTCGTGGGAAAGAATTCTCTTTGTCCGATTACGATCGAATCGGCGAGGTGGTCCTGCGTTTCAACGATGCTGCCAGGTTCCAACAGTCTTTAACAGGGGCCACACGATGCGGTGACACGGCGAAAAACGGATGGAAGAATCCCCGGCCGATACGATCTAACGATAGCGGAGATATCGATTAAATATCGAACCGGTAGCGCGGCCTGGTTCGTACGGTGTACTCACGCAATTTTTCCACGCTGCGTCCCTCCGCTGCTAGGTCCCGAGCGGAGTCGTTGACGGGTGCCTGGAACAGAAAACGAACCGGTCATTAACGCCGTATCGGCCTCACCGGCCGGCTATTTATACGAGTACGCGTCCCACG